GCAAACGCCCTCCCCGCTGTGCTACCGCTCCAGCCCCCTGAGACTTTATTTTATTTTTTATTTTTTTTGCTTTTTGGTGACTCCTGGCTCTGCACTCAGGATTGACTCCCGGAAGTGCTCGGGGGTTCCTGTGGGATGCTGGGGATTGAACCCGGGTCTCTAAAAATAATCAGAAAAAGTTTCTTTTTATTTATTTATTTATTTATTTATTTTTTTGTTTTTGGGTCACACCCGGTGATGCACAGGAGTTATTACACCTGGCTCTGCACTCAGGAATCACTCCTGGTGGTGTTCGGGGGACCCTATGGGATGCTGGGAATTGAACCCGGGTCGGCCGTGTGCAAGGCAAACGCCCTCCCCGCTGTGCTACTGCTCCAGCCCCCAGGAAAGGTGTCTTTGGAAGAAAGCGTATGTGAGGATTGTCGTACGTTGAGCCTGAATCACTCCTGGCGGTGCTCGGGGGACCCTATGGGATGCCGGGGATCGAACCTGGGTCAACGCGTGCCAGGCCGACGCCCTCCCCTCTGTGCTATCACTTTGGCCCCACTAGTACTGTTTTTCTTGAGACTGGTTGTTGTCTACCGTACGTCCTACCCAGTGTGACACAGTGAGTTGTTTTTGAGATCGGCCTTGTCCGCCTGGAGTAGTGTGAGGGGTATTTCTGTAGAACCCAGCGGGTTCTTTGGGGGATTGGGATTTCCTCCCCCCCAGTGCCGTTGGACTCACAGGGACAGTGGACATTTTGAAGGACGGGCCGGAGTGTGTGTGCCTGGCTCCGGTGGTGATTATTAACCAAACCAGGATGTTTGGTGACGCGCCGGCTCCCGGGGCCACGGGTGGGGACGGCCACATGGGCTGCTTCCCTGAAGCCCGTCCCCTGGAAGGAACAGAGGCGTGCCATGCCTCCCCCCCCTTTTTTAATTTTTACAAATTTTTATTTATTTTTGGCTTTTTTTTTTTGCGGGGGGTCACACCTGGTGATGCACAGGGGTTACTCCTGGCTGTACTCAGGCGACCATATGGGATGCTGGGAATTGAACCCGGGTCATTCATGTGCAAGTCAAATGCCCTACCCGCTGTGCCATCGCTCCAGCCCTCCCCTATTTTTTTTTTTTAAGTTTTTTATTTTATAAAGGAGTTCACAATGTTTGATTACATTTAATATTCCAAGACCAATCCCACCACCATGACACCTTCCCACCATCATATTTGGGGTGTTTCCCTCCGGAACCCCAACCCCTGCCCCAAAGCAGAATGAAAATAATGTATGTTGTATTGTTTGTTAAGAAAAAATGCTTAAAATGCTACAAAAAAGTTTTCTTAGAGGAAAGAGTGTGAAGATTTCTGTATTTCACCCAAGGGCCATTAAGCCCTTTTATAAGAGATCACTGACATGTTCTTAAAGGTTGAACCTTATGTGCTTACATATATATATATATATACACACATACTCTTGGAGAGCCCGGCAAGCTACCGAGAGTATTCAATATGCCAGACACAGTAACAACAAAGTCTCCAATGGAGACGTTACTGGGCCCGCTCGAGCAAATCGATGATCAACGGGAGGGCCTTTACCTTTTTATATAATATATATTATATAATAATATATAATATATATTATTATATATAATATATTATGGGGCTGGAGCGATAGCACAGCAGGTAGGGCGTTTGCCTTGCACGCAGCCAACATGGCCGACCCGAGTTCGATTCCTCCGCCCCTCTCGGAGAGCCCGGCAAGCTACCGAGAGTATTCGATATGCCAGACACAGTAACAACAAAGTCTCCAATGGAGACGTTACTGGGCCCGCTCGAGCAAATCGACGATCAACGGGAGGGCCTTTACTTTTACTTTACTTACTATATATATATATATATACTATATATATATATACATACTATATATATACATATTATACATATATACTCTCATATATATACATATATATGAGAGTGGACATATATATATACACACATATATAGAATATACATAATATAGATATATGGATATATGGAATACATATATACATAATATAGAATATCTATACATAATATACACACTATATATATGCATATATACATATATACTCTCATATACATACATATACATGAGAGTGGACATATATATTCTTCGATTGCCTCGAGCAGGCCCCAGTAACGTCTCTTTCATCCTAGCCCTGAGATTATATTCAAGGCACTTTAGGAGAATGAGACCCGTCATTGTTACTGGTATTTGGCATATTGGGTACGTCACGGGGAGTTTGCCAGACACTGCCCTGTGGGCAGGCTACATTCGATAGCCTGCAAGTTTGTCCAGGACATATATATATATATACATATATATAGGATATCTATACACACACACACACTGTCACTGTCCTCCTGGACTTGTTACTGTGTTTTGCGTATCGAATATTTCATGGCTAGCTTGCCAGGCTTTACCATGCGGGCGAGATACTCTTGGTAGCTTGCCGGTCTCTCCGAGAGGGGTGGAGGAATCGAATCCGGCTAGGCCGGGCTGGCTGCGCTCAAGCCCCACCGCTGTGCTTTATATAATATCTGTAAAAGAAAACATTTCCCTCTAAGATTGGTTGCCCCCTACTTTGAACCCCATCAAGTGTGGTGCGGTATTCCTGGAGTCTGGGTAGGGTGTGTCCTATGAGTGTTATGTGGCCGCAAATGTGGCCGCGTGGTCCGGGAATGGGTTCTCTTGTGGGTGAGGCCTGGATTGAGTCCTGGTCGGCTGTGTGTAAGGCAGACGCCCTCCCTGCTGTCCTTTTCTCCAGCGTGAGTGACAGCTGCTCTCGTCTCTGGAGACCTGGGGCCCCAGTCTGGGTGCTGAGCTCGTTCCCTTCCCTTCTGCCAGCTGTTGGGGCCCCTCGAGGGGGTGGGCAGGAGGGCGGGCCTTGCCGCCAGCTTCCTCTGACTTTGGAAAAGGGATTTGCAGGTCCTTGCGACCTATGACACCACAGCGGGCTCTGAACACCTGCTCCCCACGCCCGCACACTCTGGGACCTGGTGACCACAGTCCGCTCTCATGGGCCAGCACAGTGCCCTGGGGTCTGAGAATGTGTCCTTCGAGGCATTTGCCTTTGGGGCATAAATGAGAACTGAGACGTGGGGGCAGGGTGGGAACTCACCCCTAAGTGCTTCCCCAAGCAGAACCGAGACTTGGCTTGCCTGCTGGGCCCAGAACAGATTTGGAGGGCTGGAGCAGTCGTAGCACAGCGGGGAGGGCGTTGGCCTTGCATGCGGCCGACCCGGGTTCGAGTCCCAGTACCCCATAGGGTCCCCTGAGCACAGCCAGGAATAACCCCTGTGCATCGCCAGGTGGGACCCAAAAAGCAAAAAAAAAAAAAAAAAAAAAAAAAAGAACAGATTGTGGGGGGGGGCGGAAGGGGGAAAGGGTTCTGGTTCCCAGGGAAACGCTGCCTGGGAAGGTGCTGGCCGTGGGGTCCGAGCGCTTCCGCCGACCGCAGCTGCCCCGGCCCTGGGAGTCCCGGGTCTGTCTTCAAAGGCTCCGCGGGGCCCCTCAGGACGCTCTCGCAGCTGGGCGCTTTTGAACCTTAGACCGAGTTGGGGTTTCACATCCTTTGAACAGGTGTGTGTGTGTGTGTGGTTGTGTGTGTGTGCTCACGTGCTCAAGAACTTTTAACTTTTGCACCTGCCTTTGCTTACAGCATTCTAGGAAGGTGACATGAAACGGGGCTTTCCGGATGCTGGGGGGACCGAGTGTCACATCCCCGCAGGTGGAGTTGCTCTAGCTCCCGAGAGGGTCACATTTTTGCACGTGACCCGATGTGGCCCCTGGTCCCAGGCTCTTGGAGCTTCTCCGGGAAAAAGAAATTCAGTGGCGACTTGGGGGCAGGGCAGGGGGCTGCATCCCGGGCACTCCCGGAGGACTGGGGTTCTTCCTTTTTCCGAAGATCATCTCACACATGGTGGGAAAGTTTCCAGAAGAGCCTGGACCAAGCTGGGCAGTATTTCTTTTTCTTTTTTTTCTTTCTTTTTTTCTGCTTTCTGGGTTCCTCCTGGCTCTGCACTCAGGAATCACTCCTGGTGGTACTCAGGGAACCTTGTGGGATGCCGGAGTTTGGGACCAAGCTGGGCAGTATTTCTTTCTTTCTTTCTTTCTTTCTTTCTTTCTTTCTTTCTTTCTTTCTTTTTTGCTTTCTGGGTTCCTCCTGGCTCTGCACTCAGGAATCACTCCTGGTGGTGCTCAGGGAACCTTGTGGGATGCCGCGGATCAAAGATCAAACCTGGGTCAGCCGCGTGCAAGGCAAACGCCCTTCCCGGCTATGCTATCACTTCAGCCCAGATTTCTTTCTTTTATCCTCTTTTTTTTGTTTTGTTTTGGGGGTCACACCCAGCAGTACTCAGAGCTGACTCCAGGCTCTGCGCTCAGGAATCACTCCTGGTGGTGCTCGGGGAACCTTGTGGGATGCCGGAGTTTGGGACCAAGCTGGGCAGTATTTCTTTCTTTCTTTCTTTCTTTTTTTTTTTTTTTTTTTTGCTTTCTGGGTTCCTCCTGGCTCTGAACTCAGGAATCACTCCTGGTGGTGCTCAGGGGGCCGGATGTGGTGCCTGGGATTGAACTCAGTTCAGACACATTCCCTGCAAGCGCCCTCTGCGGGCTGGTGCAGTGCTGTTTATCGGCTGGACTCAGGGCCTCTCTCTGTAGTGAGATAAGGCTGGGAAGCTGGAGTGTGGCGAGGTGGATTGTGGAAGGGACCGTGGCACGTTTGGGGCCACGGAAACACGTGGAAACACATGGAAACAGCTTCCCCTCGAGATCTGCGTGCAAACGGGCCCACTTCCCTGGAGGCAGCGTTGGTGGGGACCCCTACATCCCCGCTGATTGCAGACCTCCCAGCTTTGTGGGACCGTTGCCTGGAGCCTTCCTGGGTGCTGGTGGCGGTGGGGTCCCATGGGTGGCAGCGCTGAGCCCCCCCCCCAGTTGCAGGCGCCCTGACACCCTCTGACCCCCCTGTTCCCTGCAGTCTTCCGTGTGCGCCAGGATCGTGCAGCTCCTGGGCCAGAACGAGGTGGACTACCGCCAGAAGCAAGTGGTCATCCTGAGCCAGGACAGCTTCTACCGCGTCCTCACCTCCGAGCAGAAAGCCAAGGCCCTGAAGGGCCAGTTCAACTTCGATCACCCGGGTGAGTGCGCCGGTGCGTGCGTGCATGTGTGTGCCTGTCTGTCCTGGGGGACAGGGGGTGTTGCCTGTGCCCACGTGTCTGAGGGTCTCCCACCCACGAGACAGCTGCTCCAGGGAAGAGCAGGGTGCTGATTGCATCATTTTGCAACATTGTGGGGCAGAGCCGGGGGCTGGGATTGCAGAGGTGCTTATTATCTATGTCCCACCCCCTCTTATCTGTCTCCCACCTCCTTCCATTTCTTCACTGATACCAGGGGGCGTGGCTCCTCCCTGACAGCCACTGGGGAAACCACGCCCACCTGTGTGAAGCCACGCCCTCCAACTCTAGGGGCGTGGCTTCTCCCTGACAGCCACTGAATGAGGCCACGCCTTCCTGCACCAGGGGGCGGGGCTCCTCACTGACAGCCACTGGGGAAACCACGCCCACCAGTGTGAAGCCACACCCTCCAACTCTAGGGGCGTGGCTTCTCCTTGACAGCCACTGAATGAGGCCACGCCTTCCTGCACCAGGGGGCGTGGCTCCTCACTGACAGCCACTGGGGGAAACCACGCCCACCGTGTGAAGCCACGCCCTCCAACTCTAGGGGCGTGGCTCCTCCCTGACAGCCACTGAATGAGGCCACGCCTTCCTGCACCAGGGGGCGTGGCTCCTCACTGACAGCCACTGGGGAAACCACGCCCACCCGTGTGAAGCCACGCCCTCCAACTCTAGGGGGCGTGGCTCCTCCCTGACAGCCGCTGAATGAGGCCACGCCTTCCTGCACCAGGGGGCGTGGCTCCCCACTGACAGCCACTGGGAAACCACGCCCACCCGTGTGAAGCCACGCCCTCCAACTCTAGGGGGCGTGGCTTCTCCCTGACAGCCACTGAATGAGGCCACGCCTTCCTGCACCAGGGGGCGTGGCTCCTCACTGACAGCCACTGAATGAGGCCACGCCTTCCTGCACCAGGGGGCGTGGCTCCCCACTGACAGCCACTGGGAAACCACGCCCACCCGTGTGAAGCCACGCCCTCCAACTCTAGGGGGCGTGGCTTCTCCCTGACAGCCACTGAATGAGGCCACGCCTTCCTGCACCAGGGGGCGGGGCTCCTCACTGACAGCCACTGGGGAAACCACGCCCACCCGTGTGAAGCCACACCCTCCAACTCTAGGGGCGTGGCTTCTCCCTGACAGCCACTGAATGAGGCCACGCCTTCCTGCACCAGGGGGCGTGGCTCCTCACTGACAGCCACTGGGGAAACCACGCCCACCTGTGTGAAGCCACGCCCTCCAACTCTAGGGGCGTGGCTTCTCCTTGACAGCCACTGAATGAGGCCACGCCTTCCTGCACCAGGGGGCGTGGCTCCTCGCTGACAGCCACTGGGGGAAACCACGCCCACCTGTGTGAAGCCACACCCTCCAACTCTAGGGGCGTGGCTTCTCCCTGACAGCCACTGAATGAGGCCACGCCTTCCTGCACCAGGGGGCGTGGCTCCTCACTGACAGCCACTGGGGAAACCACGCCCACCTGCGTGAAGCCACGCCCTCCAACTCTAGGGGCGTGGCTTCTCCCTGACAGCCACTGAATGAGGCCACGCCTTCCTGCACCAGGGGGCGTGGCTCCTCACTGGCAGCCACTGGGGGATATCACGCCCACTGGCGTGAAACCACGCCCTCCAACTCTAGGGGCGTGGCTTCTCCCTGGCCACTGGGTGAAGCCACGCCTTCTTGCACCAGGGGGTGTGGCTCCGCACTGGCAGCCACTGGGGGAAACCACGCCCACCCGTGTGAAGCCACGCCCTCCCCCTCTAGGGGCGTGGCTTCTCCCTGACAGCCACTGGGTGGAGCCACGCCCTCTGGCACCAGGGGGCGTGGCTTCTGCTCCTACCGCTCCCAGGCACGGTTGTTGTACGTTTCCCAGGGTCTTTGGACCCTCTGCTTTTCTGTGCAGTGTCCAGGGATCACTCCTGGTGATCCAGGCTCACGGGCCTATGTGATTCTGGGGTCGAATTAGCCTTGCAGGCAAGCCCAGCCCCTCCCCCACTCTCCCCAGTGTCCCTCCCCCTTGGGTTCAGGGGGAAGTCAGGGGATCAGGAGACAGGGGAATGCAGGGCAGGCTAGGGTGTGCGGATTAAAGAAGAGAAGCCCCCACCCACCCCTTGAATTTTGCCTACCGGGCCGGAAATTGGGGGGCTGGGCTGGGGGTGTGGGGAGGTGAGCGCAGGGCAACCGGTTCCGAGCCCCCCTTGCCAGCCCGCCTGCCTCGCTGCAGATGCCTTTGACAATGAACTCATCTTCAAGACGCTCAGAGAGATCACAGAGGGCAAGACCGTGGAGATCCCCGTGTACGACTTTGTCACGCATTCCCGGTGAGTGTGTGGTGGGGCCAGGGAGGGTCCCATTGCCTGCCCCTGGGAGGCTAGGAAGAGCAGCAGGAGAAGTAACTGGCCGCTCGTGGGGCTCCCTGCTGGCCAGGTGCATCCGAGTGGCCAGGCGGGCGGTGGGGCCCCTGCGGCCGGCCTGACAATGTTCTCACTGCTCCTGCAGGAAGGAGGAGACGGTGACCGTGTACCCCGCTGACGTGGTGCTCTTCGAGGGCATCCTGGCCTTCTACTCGCAGGAGGTGCGAGATCTTTTCCAGATGAAGCTCTTCGTGGACACTGATGCTGACACGCGGCTGTCCCGCAGAGGTACTGATGCCCCGCCCCTGTGGGAGCCACGCCCCTGCCACGCCTCTTGGGAAGCCACGCCCCCGGAGGAAGCCACCTTTTGCTCTGCCCCTGCAGGGAGCCACGCCCCCATCACGCCCCCAGAGTTGCGCCACGCCCTCCTTGGGGGAAGCCACGCCCCTGATCTGCCAAAAAATGGGGGCCACGCCCCTCCAGCACTAGCCACGCCCCCGGAGGGAGCCACATCCTGCTCTGTCCCCACAGGAAGCCACGCCCCTGCCATGCCCTCCTCTGGAAGCCACGCCCCTAATCTGCCCAAACAGGGAGCCACGCCCCTCCACCATTAGCCACGCCCCCGGAGGTAGCCACATCCTGCCCCGCCCCCACAGGGGCCACGCCCCTGCCACGCCCTCCTGTGGGGAGCCACGCCCCCACTGGGGCATCAGGTCCCTGCCCTGCCCCCTCCCGCAAAGGTACCCCCATCTCACCATCCCCACCCCCTCCAGTCATCCTGGGTCTGAGAGCCGGGTCCCCTGGGGACAAGTGGCCCAGGCCCAGCTGCGTCATCCCGGCCCAGGACGTCATTTTGGCCCGGGACGTCCCGCCTGCCTCCCAGACACGGGTGACATTTGACAAGGGATTAGTCACAGATTAGGAAGCTGGGGAGATTCGGGAAGGAGGGGGCGGGGGAGGCGCTCTCTCTCTTCCCCCCATCCCTCCTCCCTGGTCCAGTGGGGACTTTCCAGCTGCAGTCCAGGCTGTGGGACGTCAGGGCTGGCACCTGGCCTGTACCCCCACACCCCACCCTGCCAAAGAGGCTCCCGGGAGATCTGTGGGATCTAACCACTGTGCACCCCGGCCGAGCTCCAACAGGAGTGCTGAATGAGGCCCCTGAGACACGTTCTGGAGGTGTTGGGTGGGGCGGGGGCAAAATTATGAAGCTTTTTCCTTATTGGTGGTACTTGGGGGGAACTCCCTAGTGGGCATGCCGGGGATGCATCTTGGAGCCTGACGTCCACCCTTTGCGCTCTCTGAGTCTGAAGGGCAGAGATGCCCACCCCAGGCCTGGCCTTGAACGAACCCACAAAGCCTGGGAGCTGCCCCCTAAGGGAGGAGACAGGTGGGCTTAGGGGTACTAGGATGTCCACGAGAGACGGTGAGTCCCTCTCCTGTGACCGGCTTTCCTGGGTGTCCCCGAGATGCCCTCACATACTGTTCTGCTCGGGGCAGGCAGGTCTAAGCTGGCGTAGGGGGAGGGGGGCTGGGTGGGACCAGCTATGGGGGCCGAGTCAGCCCCGGGCTTTTGTCTGGGGGGGATCCTGAGGGGGTGCAGGCCCCGTGCTCCTGGCCCTGCCTCTCTCCAGCCAAGCCCTTGGTGTTCGTTCCTCTGTCTCTTGATTGGAGGTTTGAGGTCTGGGCTCTGGGCTGGGCTGGGCAGTGCCGAGGATGGACCCCAGGGTTCCTGATGCTCCTGGCCCCTCTGCCTGGCCTTCTCCATGACCTGCCTTTGGGTGGGACGGAGGAGCAGGGAGGGACCCCTGGTGCCACCACCCAGGCTCTTTCCAAACCTTCTCCACATCTGCCTGGCCCTGTCTCCGCCCTGTACTGCCCTCTGCATAAGTGCTGCTTCCTGCAAGTCACCCCTAACTCAAGACCCCTTCCTTTTTTTGGGGGGGGGCTTTTGGGGTCACCCGGCGATGCTCGGGGCTGACTCCTGGCTCTGCACTCAGGAATCACTCCTAGTGGTGCTCAGGGGATCGAACCCGGGTGGGCCGCGTGTGAGGCCAACCAACCCCCTCTCAGTGGGCTCACTGGGCCCTTCAGCCCCCCCACATCCTGCTTCTTCCCTTGGTCCTCAGCTCAGGCCACCCGGAAAGGGCCCGAGTGGACGGACAAGGAGGGCAGCTCTCTGCCCTGACTCACCAGAAGGGCCCGTCCTGGCCAGCATGTGTGCAGCAGCCGGAGGGTGGGGGTCGGGGTGCCATGACTCAGCCTGGCGCTGGGCCTGGCTGTGCCCAGCCTTGTGTTTCTCTTGGCCTGTTCCCGCAGTCTCCACGGCCCACCCACTCTGGGCACGCACACACGCACACAGGTGCACATGCCATGCCTGGTAACCCGGGTGAAAGACGAGACAGCTCATGGGAACGAGGCTGAGGACTTTCCCAGAGCGTCTGTCGCCTGGGAATCTCCCTCTGCTCTCACGGCTGCATCTGGGGAAACTGAGGCTTCAGGGGAGGCGATGGCGCTGCAGAGCTAAGGTTACCCCGTCTCTCGGGCTGGAAGACTTTCTTGTGTTTTAAGAAAAAAAAAAAGTCCTTGGAGCTTGGAGCAATAGCATAGCGGGAAGGGCGTTTGCCTTGCACGTGGCCGACCCGGGTTCGATCCCCGGAATCCCATAGGGTCCCCCGAGCACCGCCAGGAGTGATTCCTGAGTGCAGAGCCAGGAGGAACCCCTGTGCATCACCGGGTGTGACCCAAAATGCAAAAATAAATGAATAAAAGAACTTGAGGGGTTCAGGCTGATAGCATAGCAGTGACAGTGCTGGCCTGGCACGTGGCCGACCCGGGTTCGATTCCCAGCATCCCATAGGGTCCCCCGAGCACCGCCAGGAGTGATTCCTGAGTGCAGAGCCAGGAGTCAGCCCTGAGCATGGCCAGATGTCAGTCCAACACCCCCCCCCCCCCCCGCACCCCTTCCCTCCCAAAATTGCTCCAAAGTCCTTAATTGTGGTTTCCTGGAGGAAGGGAATGGTGGCTGTGGCTGGTTGGCCTGCATGAAGGCCAGTGGGGGTCAGGGCATCCCAGAGGGGGCCATTCCCGGTGCCCCGGTACTTCTGGTACGGCTCTGATGTTCTCGGGGGCAGGGCCTAGTGGAAACTGGGTGGATGCTGGGCAGGGCCTGGCCTGAGGGGGCGGGGCCTGGCCAGGAGTGGGCGGGGTCTGGGCAGAACTGGGCGGGGCCTGACTAGGAGTGGGCGGGGTCTGCGCAGGAGTGGGCGGGGCCTGGCATGGTCGTTCCTGACAGCCGTGTCCCCCTTCCCCTGCAGTTCTAAGGGACATCAGCGAGCGAGGGCGGGACCTGGAGCAGATCCTCTCTCAGTACATCACCTTCGTCAAGCCCGCCTTCGAGGAATTCTGTCTGCCCGTGAGTGTGCCCGCCTTGCTAGGCCTCGCCAGGGGTGGGCTTGGGGGCGGGCGTGGTCTCTGGGCCCAGGTTTCCCTCACTGAGGCAGTTTCCAGCCGAGCCCCCCCACCCCGGGTCTGTCCAGCCCCTCTTGTCTCTGCCCCTCCAGCTGCCAGGCCCCGGTCAGGGGTTCTGGGGATGAGGGCTGCTGCTGTGTCGTGGGTTTCTGACCCCTGAGAACTCGGGGAGGACCCCCAGCCCTTGGTGGTGTGAATCTGGGCTGTTCCTGGCAGCGCCCACCCTGCTTGCAGTTCCCTGCCATGGGGTTCGGGGGGACACGACGTTGGAGAGGCTTGGATTTATGGGGCCAGAGGTACAATGGCCCTTGTACTTGCTACAAAGACACTTGCTACTTGCTTGGCACGTGACCGACCCGGGTTCCATCCCCAGTATCCCATACAGGATGGATGCTGGTTGCTGGGCGGGGCCTGGTGGAGGCTGGGTGGGGTCTGGTGAAGACTAGGCGGGGCCTGGATAGAACTGGGCGGGGCCTGGATAGAACTGGGCGGGGCCTAGTGGAGGCTGGGTGGGGCCTAGTGAAGACTGAGCGGGGCCTGGGTAGAACTGGGCGGGGTCTAGTGAAGACTGGGCGGGGCCTGGGAAGGACTGGGCGGGGCTTGGTGGGGGCTGGGCGGGGCCTGGATAGAACTGGGCGGGGCCTGGTGGAGGCTGGGTGGGGCCTAATGAAAACTGGGCGGGGCCTGGGTAGAACTGGGCGGGGCTTGGTGGAGGCTGGGCGGGGCTTGGATAGAACTGGGCGGGGCCTGGTGGAGGCTGGGTGGGGCCTAGTGGAGGCTGGGTGGGGCCTAATGAAGACTGGGCGGGGCCTGGGTAGAACTGGGCGGGGCTTGGTGGAGGCTGGGTGGGGCCTAATGAAGACTGGGCGGGGCCTGGGAAGGACTGGGCGGGGCCTGGCATCAATCGGTCCTGACACCTGAGCACCCCCAGGAGGGATTTCTGAGCATCTCCGGATGCCACCTGAAGCCTAAAAGCCCCCGCATCCCTCCCTGAACGCCCACCCGCCTCTTCTCTTGCAGACGAAGAAATACGCCGACGTGATCATTCCCAGAGGCGCCGACAACCTCGGTGAGGACACCCAGGGGTGCTTCTGGGGGGCTTCCTTGGGGGCCCAGGACAGTCTTAACGGGGCTTGGAGCCCAGGGTGGGGGCTTGGTTGCGCTGGGGTCGGTCCCCAGCGCGATTGTGCATCTGGCCCGTTTCAGAGATTTGGGCCCTTCTGTTGGGGAATGCCCTCCCCGCCCCTCTCTGCCTCCGTTTGGGGATGGGGTCCTCGTGCTGGGGGTCCGTCCGTTCCACTGGACGTTCTCGGCCTGACCGCTGCCCCTCTCTGCCCGCAGTGGCCATCAACCTGATCGTGCAACACATCCAGGACATTCTCAACGGGGGCGTCTGCAAGCGACAGAGCAACGGCTGCCTCAACGGCTACACCCCTGCCCGCAAGAGACAGGCGTCCGAGTCCAGCAGCCGGCCGCACTGACCCGCCCGCCACCCACCTGTATATACGCCTCCCAGCCCGGACACCCTGTCCCATCCCGTCGTCGTCCCCCCCGACCCCCACCCCTCCTCGCACCCCTCACCCCTGCGCCCTCCTCCCTTCTGGAAACGGCCAAACTAAACAGAACTTGCCCCCCCTTGCCTGCGCTTAAACCAGAAACTGTGCCAACCGCTCCGGGCGGTGCCCGAAATACACGGACGAGAGAGGATTTATTTTTGTGCCCACGTTCGAGTACTGTAAAGCTCTCGGCCCGAGGCCCCAGCAGGCCGGCCGGGTGCTGGCGAGTGTTGGGGAGGGGTGAGGTGCGGCGGGTGTGTCCCCCACCTCAGCCCGGGAGACGCAGGGTGCAGGGCATAGCGCTGGAGCCTTGGCCGTCACACACACACACACACACACACACACACACACACACCCCACCGCCACCCCTGCCCCGGCTGCCACTTCCGGGGACCCCAGCTTTGGCTGTGCTGTGGCTGAGCAAGGCCCTTTTCTCCGTTTTGTTCTGCTCTTTGGGGTTGTGTCTCTTTTTTTGTTTTTTGGTTTGTTTTTATCTCTTAATTCCGCTTCTTTTGAGTTGAAATTGGGCAGGACCTCAACTCAAAAGCCAATCTCAGGAAGGGGTCTCCTCCAGGGGAGGGCAGGGCCGTGTTCTCTGCCCTGCTGCGGCCCTGGCAACCCCCTCTCCCCCATACACACTCCTGCCAGCTGGGCGGGCGGGCGGGGGCTCGGGGTGTCCTCCAGGACCGGCGAGTGACCACGAAGCCCTGCCCCCCACCCACTCACCCACTCTGCAGGGTGCTAGCAGTCTGGAGGGGGCTCAGAGCCGGGAGCCTGCTGGAGGGGCAGAGACCCCCGTGGGGGCACCCCCAGCCTCCAGGTGAGCTCCCCGGAGGGAATGCGCATTCCCGGGACCCCTGCAGGAAGTTGGGGTGCGGGGTCACCATGGGGGGGCTGTCCCCTGCCCGCCCCGCCCTCCCTGTGCATCACCCCAGTCGCTCTGCCTCCCTTCCTGGTAGACTCCTGCACCCCAGGTTTCTTGTTCTGTCCCCCAAGGTCCACACCAGGTGTCCCGCCCTCCCCCCTGCCCCCCTGCAGCGGCCGCGGCCTGTGGGAGCGAGGCCAGCCCCCCGGGGTCCCAGGCCGGCCGGGCGACGCTCATCAGTACTTGAAGCTCCCAGGTGCCAAACCGATTAGTGCCTTGGCTGTGCGGCCCAGAGTGGGGGCTTCTCCTCGGCCCTGACTCCCCCCCAGGGCCCCCCACCCCACCCCTCCTGGGTGTGCGGGACCAGGATGGGCCAGCGTGGGGCAGCCGGGGTGAGCCGAGGGGGGGGCAGGGGGTGGAGGTTGGGGGCTGAGTCCCCAGACCAGAGCCTGTGGCCGGTTCTGCGTCCCCCGGGGAGGTTCTAGAGGCTTCTGGCCGCTAACGGTGCTTGATTTGCCCTCCACGACCCGGGTGCCAGGTTCCGGCCGTGTGCTTCTGGAACCGGCCGCGGGGGCTGTCCTGGGAGGCGCCCCCTCGCCCACCCCTCATTCCCTCTGCATGAGCAGTGTGCGACCACCGCCCTTTTGTGGGGGGCAGGGGCGAGTACCCGTCTGCGCCCCCGGGGACACCCCCAGACCCCCGGCGCCGGGGGAGGAGGAGGGCAGTGGGCCCCGGGCACAGGGGTCTCAGTGTCAGAATAAGGCTGGGACACGCGTGGCCGGGGTGGGGGGTGCTGAGACCCCCTCCCCTCTCTGAGCCTGTCTCTGGGCCCTGTGACGGCGCCTCCGCTGTGCCCCGCCCGGCCCATTGGTGGGGAGACGGAGCGAGCCCCCCTCAGTGTTTTCGTTTCTGTTCAGACGCTTGCAATGCGCTGGCCCCTGCCCGCCGCCCCCCTGCCCCCCACCCCCCACTGTTGCGCATTCTGGAAATGACCGTCCTGTGTACTGTAAATAAAGGCTGGACAGAAAAATCAGAACTCTTTGGCCGACTCCGGGGCGTGCATGCGAAGGAGTGAGTGGCGACTTTGAGGGGGGGGTGTGTGGAAGGCAGGGGCTGCCTCAGTTTCCCCACCTGCCATCCTGGGAACAGGGGAGAAGCATCCCTCGGTGCGTTTGTCTTCTGCAGAGTTGGAACCTATGAACCCTGGCACCTCTCTGGCCTCTCACACCCCTGAATCTGGGATCCCCCAAACGCCCTGGGGAAGACCCCTGCAGTGACCAAGGTCTAACTGCTTGCAAAACTGTCTCCAGGGGTGGGGGCTGGAGCGATAGCACAGTGGGGAGGGCGTTTGCCTTGCACACGGCTGACCCGGGTTCGATTCCCAGCATCCCATAGGGTCCCCCGAGCACCGCCAGGAGTGATTCCTGGGTGAAGAGCCAGGAGGAACCCCTGAGCATTGCCGGGGGTGACCCAAAAAGCAAAAAAAAACAATTGGGGACACCCCAGCATTTAGTGTGGCCTCAGGTGCTGAGCGCCCCCTCCTGTCGGCCCACGTCCCACATTGGGGTCTCGGAGCCCGGAGTTAATCTAACTCCTGAGCACCCCAGTGAACCCCCTGCTCCCCCACCCCCAAGAAAAAAAGCAACTGTTGGTTTTCCCAGCTTGAGTTATTTTCTGCTGAAAATCCCTGCTTTGGGCGTAGGATTGGGACAGGGGGTGTCCTGAATTAGAGGTCTCGGCTGGGTGGGGGGAGCCTTGGAGGAACTGCATTTGCCCTGCGGAGAGGTCTTCCAACAAGTTGAGGGCACCCACATGTATTTAAAGCTAGTGAGCCGGGATTGGAGCGATAGCACAGCGGGGAGGGCATTTGCCTTGTGCACTGTTGACCCGGGTTCGATCCCTGGCATCCCATAGGGTCCTCCAAGTATAGCCGGGACTAATTCCTGAGTGGCAGAGTGCAGAGTAATTCCTGAGCATCGCTGGGTATGAACCAAAAAGCAAAAAAAAAAAAAAAAAAAAATCAATAAAAAGGGGCTGGATTGATAGCACAGCGGGTAGGACATTTGCCTTGCACGTTGCCGACCCGGGTTCAATCCCTGGCATCCCATAGGGTCCCCCGAGCACCGCTAGGAGTGATTCCTGAGTGCAGAGCCAGGAATAACCCCTATGCATCGCCAGGTGTGACCCAAAAAGCAAAACAAACAAAAAAATCAAAATAAAGCTAGTGAGCCCTGGTGAACGCGTGTGCAAGAACTGCTAAGGAAGGGCACCCTCATCCGGGCCTTGCCTGGTGCTCTGGCCACGTGGCACTGCGGGCAGTGGAGGGGTGCAGGCGTAGGGCACTGAAGAAAGGGAGGATGGAGGGAGGATGGAGACCTGGGGCTTCTGGTTGCCTTTCCTGACGCTACCACAGGGTGGCGGCAGTGAGCCTAGCGCCCCGTTCCTGCCTCCACCTTCAGACTTGGAGGTCGGCTGCCCCAGTCCACACCCCTCCCTCCTGTTGTCAGGTTTTGCTCCAGACCCCCAGGACCTTCTAGATGCAGAGCCCAGACTGAGCAGAGCGGAACTACTCCAAGACTATTCCCCTCCGGGACCCACCGTGGTCTCACTCTATGGGAGGGGAGGGTCTGCCCGAACCCCTAAAGCCAGCCTCATCCCTCAGGAATGCAGTGATAAAGTGGTCAGCGGCTTCCTGCCCCGCTCAGCCTTGGGGCAGGGGAGGGGTCCAGAGAGCCGGGAAGTTGCTGCTCATGGAATTCATCCCAGCCCCTGTTTCTGCAACTTGTGGGGGATGTTCCCGTCTGGGCGCGCGTCTGCCTGGCGGCGCAGTGGGTGTGTGCGTGCATTTCCCTGCGTCCGTGTGCATGCATGCACGTGGATGCAGGTGCGCCCGAAATTCCCCGCACGTGTGCAGGTGCAACGCCCCTGCGGGAGGTGTGCTGCCGCGGGCGTTCCACCAGGGGGCGCCGCGAGGCTGCGTTAGGGGGAGCGCGCTTCTAGTTTGCAAGCCCAGGGCAGTGGGGAGGGTGGGCGGGGGTCCCCTGCAACTAAAGCATCCTGAGCAGCGTTTGTGGGTGTCCCCGCCCTCATTCTGGACTTCACTAGGCATGGGGTGACTAGCGGGAGGTTTTTGCAGGACCCACATTGCAGGACCCACATTTATAGTTTGATTTGGGGGGGTGGTGGTGTTTGTATGGATTTTCTTCAATGCTGTACCCAATGCAGTACCAAGGATCAAACTCAGGGCATGCAAGGCTTGGGGCCACCCCTCTACCCCAACCCTCCGGCCCCCACATTTGATTATCTGCGTTCTTGGATGTCTGGGAGTGAAAACCCAAACCACCAAGGATGTTGGCTCTGTCCATGGTGCTGAGCAGACGAGTCTGGGGTGGGCTTCCCTGGAGGATGTGTTCTGGGGGGGTCCCAGAGGGGCGGGGGGCACACCGAACTCTGGTTTGTCACAGGAATGCTTTGTGCAGGCTCTGAAGTAGGGGCAAACCCCCAGGACGCTATTGACGGGGTGTCATCTCGGTCATACTGTGTTCCCACCGGCTTCACGTCTTAGGGTATGTGGGGGTCACTGCACCCCTAGAAATGACCTGCACCCCCCCATCCTGCCTGCATTCTCAGCCTTCTGGGACAGCACCGCCTCCTCTGGGAGAGCAAGTCTGTGATTGTTTGGCTGATTTATTGGGGGGTTCTCAAGTGATGCTCAGGGGTGCAGGGGTGGAGCCAGCACCCCACCTGCTATCCTGCCTCTGCCCCTGGGGTGTCTTCCCCTCCAGCAGGCATATAACAAATTTATTCCATATTACTTGAAATAAAAATAAATAAACTAGGGGCTGGAGCGATAGCACAGCAGGTAGGGTGTTTGCCTTGCATGCGGCACACCCGGGTTCGATTCCCGGCATCCCATAGGGTCCCCTGAGCACTGCCGAGCACTGCCAGGAGTGATTCCTGAGTTCAAAGCCAGGAGTAATCCCTGAGCATTGCCGGGTGTGACCCAAAAATAAGCAAAATAAAATAAAATAAAATAAAATAAAAAAGTAAAAAAAAAAGTCAATTTGTGATAACTAATTGTTATTTGTTTGGTTTGGGGCGGGGAGGCTCAGGGCAACTCCAGCTGCTGAGGGCAGGGTTGGAGGT